GCTCCCAAGGGGGGCCAAATTCCCCCGGGGTCCCCCCCCGCTTTTTCCCCCCACCCCCTTCCCCAACTTTAGAGACCCCCGAACCAAGACTTTTCCCCTCCCCCCGGCCCCAAACCCGCCTCCCCCCCCCCCCCCCGGGCGCCCTCCCCCGTCAACAACCCGGCCTTACTTCCCCCAACCCCCAAGCCTCCCCCCGCCCCCCCCCACAGCGCATCCTTCCCTGTGGCTTGGGCGCGGGACGTAGGGACTCAGACAGAGGGGCGCGCGGGCTCTAGGTGGACGCGGGTTCTAAATACGCGCCGACCCTGGCAGAGCCTCGGGCGGGTGCAGAAGCCCCAAAGAACAAGGATCAGGTCCAAGCCTCCCGCCCTTCGTTTGGCGTGTTCCTACGACAGCCTTTTTATAAGGCGGGTGCGAGATGGGGCGGAGCAGCTTCGAAGGCGGACACACGTGCCGGGGGCGGGGTGTACAATCCGGGGTTGGGGTTCTGTGCATCGCAGCGGGGTGCAGGGCGCCCTAAGATTGCAAAACTCAAACTCCTCCCCACCTGGCTCTGACGCGGCTTCTCTGCAGACCGTGGGAGACGTGACTGTCCCCCCTTCCCGTGATCCTCTTTCCTGCGCCGAAATTCCGAGTCCTTCCCCACCCCCCCACCCCCACGCCCCGTTGCACTCAAAGGGCGCTGGCATACCGGAAGGCTGGGCGACTGGCATTCCTCGTGCCCTCCTCTAGTCAAAAGCTGGGGAGAGGGCGGGAAAGTGACATGTGAGGAAAGGCCCTGGTGCGCTGAGTCCCGCAGGACTGGGAGGGGAGCCCAGGATGTTTCTGGGAGAGCTTCCCAAGACCAGGCTGCCCCCCCGCCCCGCCACCACTACCACCCAGACGTCTCCAAGCTCCACGCTCCTTCCCGCTCAAGGATTCGTCATAGCAGAGGTGTCTGTGGATTTTTTAACGTCCCTCATCATCACCCTTCCCCACAACCTAGTGCCCTGTTGACAGGGCCGGTGTCAGTCCTGTTAAGTCTCCAGCTCAGGGTCTCACTTCCCACACTCTCTACCCTCAGGGTCTGCAGTGTCTGAGTCTTGCCTGCATCAAAGCAGAAACCTGGGAACAGGAAGAGGGGATACTTGGAAGGAAGGCCAACCCATTCATTCATTCATTCATTCATTGGGCAGTCAGCTACTCTCCTATATGGAGTTCCCAAGTTGGTGGCAGAGAGACCCCAATACTCTGAGACTGGGGAGTGAGCAAGGCTGGGACAGAGGAAGAGCTGAATGCAGCTGTGAGGCTGCACCATGTCCATTCCACAAGGGTAAACATTTATCCAACAAACTTTCACTAAAGTCTCCCCCCGCCATCCCCTACCAACCCCCCTACACCCTGTCAGGAAAGAGGCTGGCGCAGAAACATCCATCTGCCAGGAAAAACCCGGGGGGCAGGTTAGTTCCAAGTTCTGGCAAGAACAGAGTTGACTCATCAGGGCTTGGAGCCAGTTCAGCCTCTGTAATCTGAAACTGCATGCCTCCGGCCTGATGTGCAGGTCACCACTCACATTTGGCCGGCCCAGATCCCAGGATCACAGATCTTGGCAGCCGTGCCAGGCAGATGGGAAGGGCAGGGAGGAAAATCTCCACAAGGAGGAGACCTGGACAGTCATCATCGGCCCTGGCAGCCAGCCTGTCCACGCCCGAAGCCCATGGCCTCCGTCTGAGTGGGTGACATTGCTATCCCAGAGCGTGTTCTTTCATCCCTGGCTTCCTGCGTTGAGATAAATGATCAGTTACTTTCCCAACCTGATGGCCTTTTCATGATCCATTTTTTAGCGGCTTCTTTCTCAATGCCGTCTTTCAGAGGGCACAAAACACCAAAGGCTCTCTCTCAGAGGCAAGTGCCCTGAACAAGGTACAAAAGTATTTCTCCAGGAGCTTGGCTCTTGATTGCATCCTAAAAAGTGCTCTGTGGAATGTGCCCTATGCCCCGGCAATGACATGGTCACCCTAATCAGCTGTTTCTTTTTATTTTTTGTACTTTTTATTTTTAATCCTCATCCAAGGATATTTTTCCATTATTATTTATTTATTTATTTATTTATTTATTTATTTATTTATTTTTAGGGAGAGAGGGAAATATGGAGAAAAATATTGATGTGAGAGAAACATATATATTGGTTGCCTCCTGCACGTGCCCTGACCAGGGCGTGGGCCATGGAGGAAAGAGCCTGCAATTGAGGTACGAGTCCTTGACCAGAATCGAACCCAGGACCCTTTGGTCCACCGGCAGACTCTTTATCCACTGAGCCAAACCAGCTAGGTCTCCATTGTTTCTTCTTTAAAAAAATATATTTTTTATTGATTTTAGAGAGGAAGGGAGAGGGAGAGAGAAATAGAAACATTAGTGATGAGAGAGAATCATCTTGCACAGCCCATTCCAGGGACTGAACCCACAACTCCAGCCCCAACCCGGAATCGAACCTGTGACCTCTTGGTTCCTGGGTCAACTGCTGAACCACATCTGGGCAATCAATTACTTCTTGAGTGCTCCAGTTCCAGTGGGCCATAACGGTGGGCAAGACACCACAGGCCCCACATAGACTACTCTGGTTAAGGTAAATGGCATAGAAAGATGACATGTCAGCTGGAATCTCTCATCAGAAAGAGAAGCAGTGAAATAGACTATTTTTGCTTGTCTGTAGGCAGCTGAATGAAGTCCCTGCCTTGGGTAGTTTTCTTCCTTTTTTTTTTAATCTTGGTATTTTCTCTTTTTTAAAAATTAAATCTTTATTGTTCAGATTATTACAGTTGTTCCTCTTCCCCCCCCCCATAGCTCCCCTCCACCCAGTTCCCACCCCACCCTCTGCCCTCACCCCCCCCCCCACTGTCCTCATCCATAGGTGCACGATTTTTGTCCAGTCTCTTCCCGCATCCCCCACACCCCTTTCCCCCCCAAGAATAGTCAGACCTTTGGTAGTTTTCAATCTGAGGCAGGACTCCATCTTATGAACAATGTCTTTCCATCTGTATCTCCAAGACTTCAGTTACTGGGGGCCCTCAGTCCCTCTTTACTAATTTCCAATCCTTGGGACTTCTCCTGGGTGGGACAGGAAGAGCTGCTAATAATAAAAATAGTGGAAGCCCTCGCTGGTGGTTCAATGGTTAGA